ACTGGCTCTTTCTCCTTTTACAATCTCATTTCTTGATCAGGCTGCTCCCGTTGAACCAAAGTGCCCATGTGTGTGGAGGGATGGGGGTTGTAGCTGCTGAGTCATAACTTAACACAATGTAGAGGGGATAGACAGAAATGGAGCTGCTGGGTATGGCTAGAGACCTTCCTTGGAATGTTCACCAAGGCTCGGAATGTGGGGTGGTGAAATCACCTGTTGAGGGTAGCTGTATCATTCCGAAGGGCCTTCTGCAGGGAGATGGTAGTAGAAACCGTTCTTGAAGCTCAGGACAGGCTGCAAACTTAATCTGTGAGAGCTATGAGGGTTCAGCTAGAAATAGGCTCGTGGGCACTGACATGCCCAGGTGCCTTGAGCTGCCCTTCATTCCACTTCACTTTGTATCTTTTGCAAATTTGTTTGTTCAGATACCAGATTAAAAAAAAAAAAAAAAGTTAATTTGGAGCTGGGCAGGGTAACATGCCCTTTTCAAGGCCAGCTGAGTCTATGAAATGAGTTCCAGGCAACCAGGGCAATGCAGAGTTCCTGTCTCAAAAAAGAAGCAAAGTTAATTTGGGAGGCTGGAGAGAGCTCGGCAGCTAGGAGTATGCATGTATTGCTCTTTCAGGGACCCGCATTTAGTTCACTATACCCGCATTGGCCGGCTCACAGCTGCCTGTAACTCTAGAGGGTTCACGTCTGGCTTCTACTGCCACCTACATTCAAGTGCACATACCTGCACATAGACACGAACGTCTAAAAAATGAGATCTACCCTCCTCTCTTCCCATGTTTTTGCCTGCATGTCTGTCCACCACATTCATACCTGGTGACAGCAGACTCCAGAACAGAAGGCCTTGGGTCCCCTAGAACTGGAGTTATAGACAGTTTGAGTATGTGTGTGGACCTGAGAATTGAACACAGGACCTCTGGAAGAGTAACTAGTGTTCATAACCACTGCATCATCTCTCCAGCCCCAAAAAGTTAATTATTGAGTTTTGTTATCCAGTGTCCAGCTTCCCTGTGAACGCTTTTCTGTGTGTAGAACAAGAAGCCCTGACCTCTGTCTTCCAAGTGACTCTCCTGTGCTTTCCCCAAGCAGAGCCAGCCTGTTCTTAGATTCTAGAGTAGCACCCTGCCTGTATGTTGTTTCCAAGGTAACTGAAATTGTAACTATTCGTGTGCAAAGCATCCTATTTCCCTGCCATCTGAGTAACCCCTAGTGATGGTTTGGTACTATAGAAAACCATGGCTGTAAATTGCCCAGATCTGGGAGTTGCCTTGATATCTTATGCTTTGTCAAAGGGATACTTCTTAGGGGGACTGGCGTCAGTTCTGTTAAAGATGGCATTAAGAACATACAGCTTACCTGGACAGTGGTGGCGTGTGCCTTTAATCCCATGACTGCAGAGGCAGGCAGATCTCTGTGAGTTCAAGGCCAGCCTGGTCTACAAACCAAATCCAGGACAGCCAGGGCTGTTACACAAAAGTACCCTGTCTTGAAAAAAATGAGGAAGAGACAGAGGAAAGGAAAGGAAAGAAGAATATGGAGCTCAGGGACTCTTGGCATGTCCTGGGTCTATTTTTCACAAGGCTGCTGGGTGCAGTCAAATTAGTCTTTGCTATGTAAGTCCCTTACTCTTTTTTAAAAAGATTTATTTATTTATTTATTTATTCATTCATTCATTTATTTATTTATTTATTTATTTATTTATTTATTCTTTATGCCGTATTCTGCATGCCAGAAGAGGGCACCAGATCTCATTGTAGATGGTTTTGAGCCACCATGTGGCTGCTGGGAATTGAACTCAGGACCTTTAGAGGAACAGCCAGTGTTAACCTCTGAGCCATCTTTCCAGCACCCGAGTTCCTTACTCTTTTATAATGCATAAATAGGTCACAGTCAGTGCCTTGTCAGCCTGGCTCATCTGCTTTCCAAGAACTCCAGAACACGTGGTTACACCCCAGCAGTTCTTGCCCAAGCTCACTTACTGCTTTGTCATTACCAGAGGGTCATCTTTCACAAGATACTGTAAGGCCACATTTTTTTTTTTTTTTTTTTTAAACCCCTATTTTTGGTTGATAACAGTACTGGCCTTAAGCAGCTTTAAAAAAGAGGAAAAGGAAGAAAGCACCTCTCCTAGTGAGCTGCTGAGAACTCTGCTTCATAGATGGATATTGTGGGTCAGGAGAGTCTTACTACTAATTCTGTCTTCGGTGTACCTGTTTGAGCAGCAAAACGCCTCTGCTGGTCACTGCACAGGTTATTGTTTGCTAATGAAGGCTCTTAAATTATGCATGTCCTTAATATAGTGTATCATCACAATCTTTAATAAAATGTGAACGATTTTTCAAAGATTTTTATTTTATGTGTGTGCCTGGCTGTACGTGCATGCTCCACACACAAGCAAATGCCCTTGGAGTCCAGAAGAGGACTTTAGATCCCCTGGAACTGGAGTTACAGGTAGTCATGAGTGGCCCAGTGTAGAATCAAATCTAGGTCCTCTGCATGAGAAGCAAGTGTTTATAACTGCTGAGCCATCTGTCCAGCCTCTATTTTCTCCCCAAGATAGTTTTTTTTTTCTATGTAGCCCTGGATGTCATGGAACTTGATTGTAGGTCAGGCTAGCCTCAAATTCAGGGATCCACCTACATCTGCCTCCTAAATGCTGGGATTAAAGGCATGCATCACTACACCATGCCCAGCCCAATTTTATGTGTGTGGATGTGGTTGTGTGTGTAGATCAGAGAACAGCTGTGTTTGGTTCTCTTGTTCTTGTTTGTTTTGAGACTGGATCTCTCTTTGTTGTTCTGGAAATCACTGTGTAGACCAAGCTGAACTTGAATTTATAGAAATCGGCCTGCCTCTGCCTCCAGAGTGCTAGGATTAAAGGCATTCGGTTCTCTGTTTTTACCTTAGTCTAGAGCTCCAACTCAACAAGCTTCCATGGCATTGAGCCGTCTTGCCAGCACATAAATGTTTGTATGTTGAAAGGAAAGAATTAACAAGCCTAAACTTTGTGTGGTAGCTTATGGCTCTAATTCCAGTCTATAGGAGGCTGACCCAAGAAGATTGCCCTTAGGACCACCTGAGGCTGGCTCTGCTTGGGGAAAGCACAGGAGAGTTACCTGGGAAAAGAGATTAGGACTTCTTGCTCTACACATGGAATAGCATTCACAAGGAAGCTGGACACTGGAATAACAAAACTCAGTAATTAAACAAAAAAGATAGAAATTTGTCAGTGCTATACTGTGGGTATGTGAGGTTCTCTCACTGGTTGAATACTTACTGGCAATTTATTAGCTTTTTCAAGATTGCACTTGTTTTCTTTTTTGGGACAGGATCTTACTATGTAGCTTTGGCTGGCCTGGAACTCTGTATAAACCAGGCTGGCCTCAAACTCAGAGATCTACCTGCCTCTGCCTCCTGAGTGCTGAGAGACATGGCACCACTCCATACCTGGCCCACAGTGACATTTAAAGACACACACCTAAAGCCAGTGACTATCACCTGTGGCTAGAAGCTGGCCAGCATGGCAGATGGGTAGCCACATAATGAACCTCCTTGGCTTGATGCCGTTGTTGAGATATGCATGGTCTCTGTTGCAGCTGACAGGCTGTGGCCTTTTTTGATGTTTTATGTCATTTTAAAATGTCAGCATGTAAATACCAGCCAAGTTAAAGCTTCCTGGTTTCTAACTTGACTTATGTTCAACATCTCAAAGTCACTTTGTTAATATAAAAAAAAAAATCTTACCAGCTTCCTTTTAGAACTTCATTGCATACTATATACTAACCACCACTGTTGGAGTCAGCATTTCCTTGGCTCCCTGTTTGGAGTTGAACTCATCTGTATTTTCTCTTCCTCCATTTCGTTCTCTTGGATATCTCAAAACTTTTAGCAAACCGACTGCTTCTATTAATTTCTGGAATTAGAGGTGGAAGCTACCACACATGTTCCTTCCTCCTTTCCTTTCTTCCTTCCTTCTCTCCCTCTCATTCTCCCTCTCTCCCCCCCCCTCCCCCCCCCATTTTTCTGAGACAGGGTTTCTCTGTGTATCCCTGCCTGTCCAAGAACTCACTCTGCTCAGTCTTGGAGATCTACCTCCCTCTGCCTTCTAAGTGCAGGGAATCAGGGCCTGCACCAACACCATCCGCCTCCATTTTCTTAATACCAGCCTTAAACCAAGCATGCAGTACACACCTGTAATCCTGGAACTTGGGAGGTCGAGGATTGGGAGGTCTGACCAGTCTGAGCTTGTTAATAGTGAGTTTGTGAACTGCCTGGTCTACAAGGTGAGACCAAATCTCAGAAAGCAACCCAAACAATCCATATGCATGCTTGTGATCCACTTGGGAGGTGGAGGCAGCAGGATCGGAAATTCGAGGTCACTTCCTAGCCACCGAGTTCCAGAGAGAGAGAAAGAGAGACCAACTAACTTTATGCCCTCTGTTGAAAGTCTAGAATTTGCTGAGATTTGGGACTGAGTTATGCTGGTAGGTCTGCCTCCAGGGGTGCCTGATGTGGGTTTTGCTTGCTTAGTCATTAGAAGAGTTTCTTATACACAGTTTCTTATACACCTCCCCCCCCCCCCCCCCCCCCCCCCCCTAACCCCAGCAGTGCTTGGAACTGCTTGCTGGGGACCTGCAGAGAAGCTTGCTGGAAATTTGGTTCCTTGGCTCAAGCTCCTGTGCTCTCTGACACTAGTCTCTGTCTCCTAGAGAAGCCTCCTTAAGAAAACACTGATCTATTACACCGCCATTCTTTCTGCCTTCCTGCTGAGGGTTTAACTGTAGGTGTTGAGAAAGAAGCCTTACCTTTCATTGCCAGAGAGTTTCTTTTTCTCTAACTTTCACAGCTTAATATATAATGTTTGGCTGTTGGAAGTTAAAGCATTCTGAAACCCAAATAAGCCTTCTGTAGACCTAGGGGACATGACCGTGGCTGTGCTTAGAGTAGGGGAAATGGTTGACTTTCTTTTTCTTTGTCTTACTATTTTTCAGGTTTTGAATGAAGAATGTGATCAGAACTGGTATAAGGCAGAGCTCAATGGGAAGGATGGCTTCATTCCCAAGAACTACATAGAAATGAAACCACATCCGTAAGTCTGACTCTGTGGTCTCCTAAGCTGGGGCGCTCATGCACTTTCTTGCCTGTCTCAAGTTCCATTTTTGATTGAACTTTTTTTTTTGGGGGGGGGGGGGGCTCACTATGTAGCTTTGTTGTTCCAGAGCTTGCTTTGTAGACCAGGCTAGCCTCACAGAGATCCACCTGCCTCTGCCTCTCCAGTGGTGAAATAAAAGGTGTGCACCATCATGTCTGTTTTCTTTTTCTTTTTTTTTTTTAAGATATTTATTTATTTAATTGTTTGTTTGTTTGTTTATTGTATGAGTGCTCTATTTGCCTGTGGGCTTGCATGCCAGAAGAGGGCATCAGATTCCATTATAGATGGTTGTGAGCCACATTGTGGTTTCTGAGAATTGAACTCAGGACCTTTGGAGGAACGAGCAGACAGTGCTCTTATCTGCTGAACCATCTCTGTAGTCCCCTGGTTGGTTTGTTTTTATGAGACAGGCTTAACGTCTTTTTTTTGGTTGGTTTTTGTTTGTTTGTTTTGTTTTTGTTTTTGACACAGGGTTTCTCCATATAATAGCTCTCTGGCTGTCCTGGAACTCACAAAGCTCCCTGGCTTAAAGTCTTAATGAAGAAATCAAACTGATAAACATTTAAATGGCATATACACACTATATTCCTGTACATGTGCATTCTGTCCATGGTGAAGAAGGCCCTTTGCTTGAGATCTCGGCAGCCTAAGAGGGGGGACCAGTGTGCTGCTGGCCTAGGTTCCTGAAAGGCAAGCTTGAATGGGGTAAACCTGAAGAAGTTCTGAGTGTGAACTCCTTACAGATTCCTGTGCTGTTAATAAGCTTGCTTTGCATTCTTACAGCCTTACAGTCTTGGTTAGTTTTGTTGTTGTTTTGCTTCAGGGAGTTGTATGGGCTTTTCACAGACAGAATGGAGAATCACAGAGCAGTGAGGAAGACCCTTGGATCAGATCACAGAGCCTACGCATCTCACCCCTTTAAGACAAATAATCCTTGTACTTCTGTTCCCTTCATCCATGCTCAGGAGTGTCAGAAGTATCTGTACTGCACAGGCAGTGCACACTCTTAGTCCCAGCATTGGCAGGCAAAGGCAGGAGGATCTGCAAGTTCAGACCAGCCTGCTTCACAGTATCAAGGTCCAGGTTAGACAGGGCTGCACAGTGAGACCCTGTCTTAAAAAAGAAGGAGGAGCCGGGTGCAGTGCACACCTGTATTCCCAGCATTCTGGTAGGCAGAGGCAGGAGGATCTTGTGAGTTCAAGGCCAGCTTAGTCTATAAAGTGAGCCGAGGATGGCCAAGGCTACACAGAGAAACCCTGTCTTGGCAAAAGGGTGGGGGGGGGAGAAAATATAATAGTGTATATGATTAAAAACAAAAACCACAAGGGCTAAAGAGACACCTCAGTGGTTAAGAACACTGGGTACTCTTCCATCAAATCTGGGCTTGATTCCCAGCACCAACATCATGGCTCACAGCCATCTGTAACTTAAGTTCCAGGTGACCCAAATTCTCTTCTGACCCCCAAGGTCACTGAGTTCTAGGCACAGATATACATGCAAGCAAAACATCCATGCATGTAAAATTAATTATTTTTAAATAAAAAAGAAAAAATAGAAGGTCTATAAACGGTTTGTAAAGGGCTAGATAGTGAAAGTTTCAGATTTAGTCTTGGTGAACCACATTCTGTTGCCTTCTTATTAAAGACTTTTCTTTTTTGTCGTCCCCCCCCCCTTTGTTTATTTCTTACTTTCTGAATCAAAGCCTTAACATGTGACCCTAACTGGCCTAGAACTTCCTTTGTTGACCAAGCTAGCCTTAAACCCAAAGATCTGTGTGCCTCTGCCTTCCAAGTATTTGTATTAAAGGTTCATACCAGCATGCCTGTCCTGCCTTCTTTAAAAAGGTAAATTGAGATCAGGGTTAATGGCACACTCCTTTAATCCCAGCACTTGGGAGGCAGAGGCAGAATTCTGTAAGTTCAAGGTCAACCTGGTCTACAAAGTAAGTTCCAGGACAGTCAAGGGTACACAAACCTTGTCTCTGGAAAAGAAAAACAGCAACAACAAAATACTTGTGTGTATGTGCCTGAGTGTATGTTACATGCATGAACCCCAGATATCAAAAGGGGGCATTGAATCTCTGGAACTGGAGTTACAGGTGGTTGTGACCTGCCATGTGGGGGCTCGGAACTGAACCCAGGTCCTCTAAAAGAATAATTAAATGTTCTTAAACACTTTGCCATCTCTTTACCTTCTCTCTTCTTTTCCTTTCCTTCTTTCTTTTTACACCCCCCCCCCTTCTTTCATCCTGGGAATTGAATAGTAGGTAAACATTAATCACTGGAGTGTGTCCTAATCCCCTAAAATTTATGCTGTAATGATCCATTAGGACTGGGCTTGCTTTTGAATGCACAGTGCCCTGGATTCTATCCTGGTACCTTCTCCCCCCCCCCCAAAAAAAAAAAAAAGTTTATAAAATAAATAAAAACTGTAAAGAGATGTGGTTTCGTGGTAGAATGCTTGCCTCAAATTCATGAGGCCTTAGATTCCCAGCACTAGAGTAGAGGGAGAAAAACAGGTATGCTTATATCTCTTAGCATTCCAGAGACGGAACTATGAAGATCACAAATGCAAGGCCAGCTTGGGGCTGACAAGCCTAACAGCTGGAGTTCAATCCTAGAACCCAGGGTAGAAGGAGAGAACTTTCTCAAAAGTTGTCCCTGACATCCACAAGTATGTCATTGTGTTGTGAGTACATGTACATGAATATACACACCTGCCAGCCTGAATTACACAGCAAAAGGCCCTCAGATTCAACAGTTGGTTTGTGGGACATTAAAAAAAGGAGCACATTTAGACTGAGAGCTGTGGTTTCCCAACTGCTGTGCTAGAAGTATCAGGAGTTCAGGGCCAGTCTGGGCAATTGAAAGGACCTGAGGGGTGTTAGCTCACATTGGTGGAACACTTAAGCAGTATGATGAAGCCCTCGGATTAAATTCTTAGTACTCTAGGAAGCGGCAACATGATCTGCTGGGTTATTTCGAGCTGTCTGAAGGACAGTCAGTGCCCCTGCACCCTGAGCTCTGGAAAGGGAGCCTTTCTCCAGGACTTCATAAGCTCTTCCCGCCGTGGATCTGCCAGATGGTTGAGTGTGGCACCCTATTGTGGTGTACCAGAGGCTGGCCCTCCCCTAGCCCCTTTGTTTGAAGAGGAAGAGGGCAGTTATAAAATAGAGTGCCCTCCACCTAATCGATGTATTTGGTTCCACGTGAAGACTGACTGCAGTGACCGCCGCTGCAGTGCTGCAGTAAAAGTTGTGTGTACCCAGGAAATCCACACGCACTCTTCATAGTAAGTGCATGTGGGCAGGAGCCTATGGCGTGTTATAAACAAGACTTTGGAAAATACATCTCTCCTCTCCTTGGCTTCCTTGCTTGCTATTTTGAGGATAGTACGACCAGTCCAGTCTTTTTAAAGATTAGCAGAACATTTGTCTGTAGGCATGCAGTTATACATAAATATCACCATTAAAAGAATTCTGTCCGGCCAGGCATGGTGGCACACACCTTTAATCCCAGCACTCAGGCAGAGGCAGGTGGATCTCTGTGAGGCCAGCCTGGTGTACAAAGGGAGTCTAGGACAGCCAAGGCTACATAGAGAAACACCATCTCAAAAAACAAAAACAAAAAAAGAAAAGGCCTAGAGGCATCCATTGCCAGCAGTTGATGCTAAAGAGAGTGGGCTTGAGGAAAAGTCATCTTTCTATTCCTATTTCATGTACATTTAGGCCACTTTGATTTATATCTACTGCTTTATAGCTTTAAAGAGAGCGGATGAATATAATCAAAAGGTTATATCGTTTGAAATTCTCAAAGAATAAAAAAAAAAAATTTTTTTTTAAGTATGTGCTTGGTGGAAATATCTTAGGGTCCAGGAAGGGAGAAAAGTGGCTGTTGAGAAGACTTGCCCCTGCCTGGTGACTGTGGAAGTGAGGGCACTGTCATTGTGGACCAGACCCTGGTCATGGCCAGACGCAGCTATACCATAAATATAGTGAGCCCTTAAAAGTGCCAGAGAACACAAAAGGTGGGCAGCATACTTGGGGATTCCCTGTTCTGAGGTGATTCTGTCCGTTAGTAGGGAATTTCCCTTTTTGTGGCCTGCTTCCGGGGCACTGCGGGCTTCACTCTTAAGCATCTGTAGAGCAAAAGGGTGAGTCTCCATAGCCTGGCATGAGAGCATGAAACATGAACAAGACATGAAAGTTGGATTTGGGTGCATTCAGATTCATTCAAGCAGTTTCTGGTGTACCCCTCCTTGCAGTTTCATGTCTTCTGCCTGAATTTTTGTTGTAAAGATTTATTATGTGTACAGTATTCTGCCTGCATGTATGCCTGCACTCCAGAAGAGGGCACCAGATCTCATTATAGATGGTTGTGAGCCACCATGTAGTTGCTGGGAATTGAACTCAGGACCTCTGGAAAAGCAGACAGTGCTCTCAATTCTCTGAACTGTTTCTCCAGCCCCTGAATTTTAGTTTTAATCTGACAGAATTTCTTGAAAATATCTTGCAGTGTGGTTGTTTATAAGGTAGCTGTGAGCCTTGCCTGTGGCAAATGCCCATTTCTCAGTATGTGGGAAGCCATTGTGGATCAGACATGAAAGCCTGTCTCAAAACAAACAGCAACCTTGGTGGCTTACACTTGAAATCTCACCTTTTGGAGAGCTAAATAGTTGGAAAGTTCAAAGCCAGCCAGCTTGGGCCACAGACTTCCGGAACAGCATGGGCTACGATATGAGGCCCTGCCTCAAAGTAAGTATAGGTCCAGCAAGATGGCTCATCAAGCAGAGTACTTGTCACATAAACCAGACGACCTGAATTTGATTCCTGGAACCCACAAAAAGGTGTAAGGACAGAATTAAGTCCAGAGTGTTGTCTTCTAACCTTCAGCTATACATATAATAATTTAAAAAGACCATTAAAAGATGATTATAAAACTTAGCTTTAGGTGACAACAGTAACAAATAGTTTTTGTAATTTTATTGTTTTATATGTATGGGTGTTTTGCCTATGTGTATGTCTGTGCATTGTCTGCTTCACGAGACTATCCCCGGAATTGGAGTTACATGTGGGTGCTGGGAACTGAACCCAAGTCCTCCAGAAGAATAGCCAGTGCTCTTAGCCTACTGCTGAGCTGTTTCTCTAGCTTGAAATTAAAAAATAAAAAAAAAATTAGGATTATGTTAGTTACTAGGGTCCTGTTGTGCATGCATGAGGCCTAAGGTTCAGCACCCCACACCACATAAAAGAAGGCATAGTGGCACATACCTGGGCCAAGCACTAAATACAGGAAAGTCAGAAGTTCAGGCTCCTCATCTGCCATGTAGTAAGTTTGAGCCAGTCTGGGGAAATCCAAGTAGGCTTATCACTACCTGAAAGAAAATAATGGGCCTGGGTATGGAGGCGCTTGCCTGTAATGGCAGTACTGGGGGAGGGTGAGGCAGGAGAATCAGAAGTTCAAGGCTAGCTTTGTGTACATAAGGAATTTGAGGGCACATAAAGACCCTGTCTCCAAAATAACAATAATAGCTATAATGAAGTGAAGATTTGATTTGCAATTGTAAGAGACGGTTGGTTCTGTTTTGGTTATCATTCATATACTAAAGAATTCCAGCTACCATATAAGGTAAGGTAGGACTTTGGTCTCACTGTGTAGCTGTGGCTGTCCTGGAACTCTGTAGACTAGTCTAACTTCAGAACTTAGAGAGACCTACCTGCATCTGCCTTTTGAGTGCTAGGATTCCAGGTGTGGGGCACCACCAGCACCTGGAGTCAGTCTGCTTGCTCACAAACCAAGCCTCCCCTTTTGCTTTGGCAGATTCCCTGCCTCCAACTTCTAGTCCTCCCCAGTGGTCTCTTTCACTCCTATTATGAAATGGCTTTGAAAGGCCTTTCTCTGTCTCTCTGTCTCTGTCTCTCTCCCCCTCTCCCTCTCTCTCTCTATCTCTCTCTCTCTCTCTGCCCCTCATCCTTGGGTTCAGGGCTTTCCTGGGTGCCTCCTGGTGAGTTCGCTTTCGGACTACATGTTTTTTGGAATGTTCTCTTCAGAGACTTAATGAGTGGCCTGCATTGAGTTTTGATCTAGAGAGTAGAGTGGGTGGAACTTTTTTGAAAGTCCCATCTCTCAAGAAGATCCTGAGTCAGACAAGAGTAGGCCCAGGGAGCCTTAGAGAAGAGACTAGCAGCTAAAGTTCTACCCCCTTCCTCCTACAAGAACTACTCTATTTACGCTTAAGACTCTACATCCCGTCTCTTTGTGGGGAAGCAGATGTTGACTGGCTTGCCTTCCTTCCTTAGGTGGTTTTTTGGCAAAATCCCCAGAGCCAAGGCAGAAGAAATGCTCAGCAAACAGCGGCATGACGGGGCCTTCCTAATCCGAGAGAGTGAGAGTGCTCCTGGGGACTTTTCCTTGTCTGTCAAGTAAGTATTTCCTGCTGGAGTGTCTACAGAAGCTGCCATTGACTAGATTGTAAGGCTACAGGGAAGATGGTGACAGATCTTCTTCATGGAAATCCAGTGTTTTGCTCTAAAGCCTAGTTGTAGCAGGCCTGAACCTGCGGGAACTGACAGCACTCAGGGCAGTTCTGATCCCCGCTGCTCCTGGCCCCTCCCTGCTTCGGCTCAGTTCCCGCCAACCACTAACAGTATCTGCATGCCTTCTCCTGTTGCTTACCTGGGCCAGATACTGTCAGAGGCCATGATAGTGGGGTATTGTCTCAAAAATCCAAATAGGAATTAATCCCAGCACTTGAGAGGCAAAGACGGGTGGATCTCTGTGAATTCCAGGCCAGCCCGGTCTACAGAGTGAGTTCTAGGACAGCCAGACTTACATAGTGAGGTCCTGTCTAAAAAAACAAAACAAGAAATTGCTTTCCTTAGTTTTCTGACTCTTCACCCTTTTCTAGTTAATGTGTTACTACAGAAGCCCACTCCAAAGTCTTTTCAGTCATTTCTTTTTTAACACACACTCTTCTCCATACTTCAGGCTGTCCTGGAACTTGATAAGTAGCAGGGACTGTTCTCAAATCGATGGCAATCTGCCTGTCTCGGGCTCCTGGGTGCTGGGATTACAGGCACGTGCAGCTACATCTACCTTACTTCATTATGTATCCATAAAGAGGGGTTAGGGAGCCAGGGCCTCTAACTAGACCCAGTGCTGAGGAAGCGAGAAGGCGGACTCTCAGGAGTCGGTTTTCTCTTCTATCTTGTGGGATCTGAGGTTAAACCCAGTTGTCAGGCCTGTGCAGGCTCCACTCACTGTAACCACCCACCAGTCCTGGCTGTTGTCTTTTAAATGCACCAACCGGGTCTCACCAAACTGCCCACACTAGGCACTGGGGTGTAGCATGTGAGGTGACCTGGGTCCCGTCACTAACTCACAAGAGATGAATGTGTGAACCCAGACTGGCCTCGAACCCTGACCCTTCCTACCTTCACCTCTCTGTAGTAGAAAGAACAGTCCTTCCAGGATCCCCTGGAACTGGGGTTACAGACAGTTAACTGTCATGTGGGTGCTGAGAATTGAACCCCGGTCCTGTGGAAGAACATTCAGTGCTCCCAACCATTGAGCCATCTCTCCAACCTCTCGTTTTTGGTTTTCTTGAAGTTTCTGTATGTAGCCCTGGCTATCCTGGAACTTTCATCTGTAGACCAGGCTGGCCTCAAACTCAGGATCTGCTTGTCTTTGCCTCCTGAGTGCTAGCAGATTCGTTTGTTTGTTTTGTTTTGGTTTTGGTTTTTTTCCAAACTGAGTATGATAATTGGTTCCTCTTACAATCAGGGCATTTGAAGTTTTTGATTGAACGAATGTAAGTAAGGGCCTAACAAAGCATTTTAAGCTGGGTTTGTAGAATTACCGTTTTTATGCTTCTCAGTAGCTGTGTGTCATCTGCTTTCCTTGGCCTATACTTCACCAAGTAGCAGTAAAATAGTTCAGGAAAGGGAAACAGGTAGTCAGTGGGTCATGGCCAGACCCCTGGGCAGTGTGTGAAACTGGAGACCAGCCTATATGTTCAGCACCATCTCTGTACATGCTCCTGCTGAAGGCACCAGGAAGGCCAAGCTCTTCCCTTCCATCAGAGGAAATATTGTAGGGGACAGAGAGCTAGGGCTGTAGGTATAATGCTTGTTTATATGCATGGGGTCTTGGGTTCTCTTCCTAACACAAGCACTACCTACAGCTGAGTGCCTACAACCTAGCACTCTGGAGGTAGAGGCAAGAGGATTGTAAATTCCAGATTGTCCTTGGCTATATAGTGAGTTCAAAGTCAGCCTGCCGATGACCTGCATCAATCCCCGGGGCCCACGTGGTGGAAGGAGAGAACTGCTTTCTAATACAAGTCCTTCCCTGACTCCATGCCCACCACACACATGCACACACGTGCATATATAGAGAAGTGTCATTTAAAAGGTAAACGGGGAACTTTTAAAGACGTTAATGTGTTACCACGTCAGGAATAAAATATGAGGGGAGTTGCTAACTGCCATACCAACATGAGCACCTGAGTTAGGATATGGGGGGTGGGAGGGGATGGGTCCCTGGAGCCCGGTGGCCAGCTAGTCCACACTAACCAGTGAGCCAGGAAGACAGCCAACATCGACAGTAGGTTTCCACATACCTGCACACGCGTACACATTCACACCCCATGAACATGTACACACACAGAAGGAAATCATGAAATATTGCCTTCAGTGCAAGCATCATCACAGGCTTAACGGTACCAGTCTGAGGGTAATGCACTAGTTTCGAGATCTTTAGAGTCTGATGACAAGGGGCATGGTAGAAGTCACCCTGGCTTTCAGTGACCCTGTACTCAGAAACCATGTGCATCACAGAAGGGCTCTTGGGCCTTTGGAGCCAGACAGGACCTTTGGCTCCTGGATCCACAGTTCTCTTGAAGCTTCTCAGTGAAAATGTAATCAAGTCTTTGGTCTGCTTTGGTCTTGCTTTCCTCCATTTCAGTTGTCAAAAGCCAGCTGGAAATTCCAGAAGTAACTTACTCCCAGGTTTTTATGATGGGGTATTGTTGTAATTGTTTCAGTGGAAACTAAACTTCATCAGATTATATGTGTCTATAGGGGAAAACAGTGTATCTGGGGTTTGATATCTGGTTTCAGATTTGCCCTGAGTGTTTGGAAGCATTAGGGTCCTGTGCTCCCCAGCTAGAAGCTCAGTGCTGCTATCTGCTGGATTGTCTTTAGAACTCCTTTACCTTCTTTAAGCTTTACGACTGAATTTGAAGGCTAGGCAGTGAACGGGAAGCAGTGTTCAGTCACAGAGCAGAGTGTGTGGGCCAGCCAGCACCAGTCAGTGACACTTGTCAGTCTTGCTTACTGGTGCTAAAGATAGCATGTTGTCCAATGATGGAGTGTTGGTTTCTTGATACTTAGGTCTTGTTACCCAGAAAAAAGAAAAACAGTGTGAAACAGTATGAAAATTCCTCAGTGGAAGAGCACAGCTTTGATGGCACGCCTGTACCCCCCAATAACGGGCAGGCTGGGTCAGGAGCATCACTGTGAATTTTAGACCAGCTTAGCCAGTTCAGTGAGCTTAAAGCCAACCTGAACTGCTGTTTGAATGTCACATTGTTTATTAACCCTTAGCATCATCATGGACTTCATGTATAGATGCTTGGGCATCTTCAGAGTTAGACTTGTGGGTGGATTCCCCCTCACTGGGATTATTTCTGTAACCAGTGACCAGCAGTCGGGAGAGGTCTAGGGGGAGGTTCCAGGGATGTTCCCCACTCTCTCCAGCTGGAGACTCGGGGTGCTATGTGTCCCCAGGCTCTGAAAAGCCATGCCAGACAGCAACTCCCTTGACACTGGGTTTGGGACTGCCCTGTGGCTGCTTCATGCCTGCTCTCCCTGTCCTCAGGTTTGGAAATGATGTACAGCACTTCAAGGTGCTCCGTGACGGAGCTGGGAAGTATTTCCTCTGGGTGGTGAAGTTTAATTCTTTGAATGAGCTGGTAGATTACCACAGATCAACTTCCGTGTCCAGGAACCAGCAGATATTCCTACGGGATATTGAACAGGTGCCACAGGTAAGCCAGAGAACTTCAGGTCAGTTCCAGAAAATGAGAGAGGCACAAAGGTCCTGGCAGGGCCACCGCAGCAGCTCCCTGCGCATGTTCGGGCTCTCCTTCATTCACAGGGAGGCTTGTGTCCCCAGGCAGCCTGTGAGGGAATGCTCTCTGCACTCGTTCCTGTTCCTCACTTGCTATCAGGAACTCTGGTTAGCACTGCCTTGTTTTGTGGATGCTCCTTTTTGACCTGTACCGCTTAAGTGACTGGAGCAGAAGCAGACATTTTCAAGTGTGTTTAAAAACTCTGCAACACACAGCCCAAGTCTTCGCTGCTCCCCACCAGCCAATATGGCCTATTGGCCATGCTTGTGACATAGATGTACATACCCCTGTGGGTTTTGAGTATTGATAAAGGATTACACGAAACCTACCCAGAAGGACTTAGCAACATGTATCAGTGGAGGGAGGGAGGTGGGGGCTGCTTTGGGAAGCGGGTGGGTTCGCACATGCTCACTCCCCTTGTGAGCAGTTC